CCCACCTCTCCCACTCGTCCATTCAACCTCCCAAAGGCTCCTTTACGGGGACCTCGTAAAAATTGCATTGGACCTTCGTATACCTGCGCGCTATAGCACAGCTAATTATTTGGGTCTCGAATAAATTCGCACACCCGTTATACCTCTGACGACAGAAGCCGTATTACAGGTACAGGGCAGGTTTCGCGAACCTTTCGGCAAATTGAAAATCAGCGACAAAGGAGGAGCGCATGACGCAAAGGCGATATTTTAATGGCGACTCACGGGCTAATTGCCGTGACCGGCGCGCGAGTGTACCAAGGGAAAAAAGAAATTGAAAAAAAGTCGAGGCGAAGGATAAAAGGAAGAAAATGAAAAAAGGAAAGAGAATAAAGAGGAAACGTATACGGGATGGATCGGTGCCCGTGTAAATTCGCCCCTTGCGGAAGAACTTTGCACCTGGTGTAGCGATTGTATCTTGCTGGATATTAATTTTTTATTCCTCGAGCGCAATCAAGATGTCGCGAGCGTCGAGGCGTCCAATTAAACTATTTAGCGCGACTTTTTCCACGTGAATCGACGCTTCGGTCTTTTTATATCATTTTTACTTATCACTGATATCTTCATCCCCCTTTATCTCATCGTGCGCGTCTCACGCCTACATAAAAATTCGTGTTATCGATATCACTTAGATAATAAGAATAAGAATTTTCGTGTATCTTTCTTTTTTTTCTTTTAATCACGTCTTTTCAGGCATGAAAACATCAAAACGGCGGTTTATACACTGTGTCCGTAATTACTCGCACAATTATCCGTTATTCATATTCGTATGGAAAAAAAACGTCGTTTACCTAATTAAGCAATTATCATCCCAGCTACATCCATCCCCCTCCTCGTGTGTCCTACAAGTGTTTTTTTTCCTGCTTACAGGGGTAGCGGCACCGCCCTACCAGAATCCCCGGTCGACCAGGTCGGCAACGGATGGAGGTGAGTCCCCGCTTATTTCCCTCGAAAAATTCGTAATCTTACGTTCAACCCTTACAAAAAAAAAATCATCCCCTTTCCTCGTACAACCAGCGGAATCTAGATAGCAACCTCGCATCCCTCATTCGTGTTTACATAAGAAGATCGAGCCGAGTCGACAAAAAGAAAAAGGGAACTCAAAGGGAGTAATTATTTTTTTGCGCGACGGTTTAAGATAAAACAAATTATAAGGAAATCGGTAAGCACGAAACAAGGGCCGAGAGAAAGTATCGAGGACAGGTCGAACGAGCTCTTCCCTCTAAGGGCATTTTTGGACGAAGAAAAGTTTCTGACAGTAACTCCGTCTGGCAATAAATTTTCAGTTAGAAAAAATTCAATCGGTTCGGTCTCTCGATGAAAGGAATCGCAAATCGAAATATACGTCTATGGGTAACGTAAAAAAAAAAAAGAAAGAAAAAAAAATTCAAAGACTCGCTCACTAGAAGCCACAGTTCGGTCAGGCCAGGCGTCGTCGGCCTACACGTGCGATCGGCCACGTGTTTCAATGACAGATAGGAAATACATACGAAGAACGAGCCACAAGCCGTACACAATATTTCGCAGGAATGATTTTTAATTTTTACGTAAAACCAAAAATTTTCATCGAGCTCCCGGGAAATACGTTGTTCTTTAAAACAAGCCTAAAGAATACTCACATAAGTATCCCTACAGTGTACTCCGGTACCAGAAGCCTTAATCCCGATGAAATTGCAGAACGCAGCGCGGAGGGATCCTCGGAAGCAGGACTGCCAACATTGGCAAACAGGATTAATAAATTTTCATCGCTAGTCTCCCGATTCAAGCGACGCACTCTGACTTCCATGCGAATTACATTATACAAACTCTCTCTCTAAGGGGTTTTCGCAGAGTCCTTGTACTTCTCTATCCTTTTCCAATATCCTGTTCAGCCTCTCTCTCTCTCTCTCTCTCTCTCCTCTTCGGATTTCTCACTTTCTGGCACTCCTCTCTCTCGCATCCCTCCGTGCTTCTCCCCGGGCCACGAATTCGCCTGGTGTGAAAATTCTACAAGGGTGCGTGGGGGCCACTATTGATTCCACGAGCTCTCAACCCCCCTCCCCCCTCCCCCCCTCCGCTTT